TTTTTTGTATCATCGACACTTATAAATTTACAGGTGATCATGTATTGTGTTATATTATATTTCTGGAAAATTTAAGGAGTAGTTATATAATAATTTTGGACGATCTCGAGCGGTCAGATATTTATGACCACTACTGTATATTAGAACTAATATTTAATCGTGAGTAAAGAAAGAAGATGGATAGATTTTATAAAGTAATTCAAAATTATCTATGGAATGAAAGTTATCAATGTGAACATAAAATGCATGTGAGCAGTAATGGGATCTTGCATAATAAGGTGTATTGTAATTATATTTATAGTTGCTTATAGATCCCATCCAGAAAGTGGTATCCTATATTCTCTTGCAACTTTATGATAATATGTGTCTGTATTGTCTGAAGCTGTGACTATTTTACAATCAGGATCAACCTTTGAATTGTAGCTTAAGATGATGTTAAGAGCAGTAAACTTTTAGTATTTATTGGGTATAATACAGCTTTTTTTCGCATAATAATTCTGGATATGAAATGCCTTTATACATTCCTTTCAGAATAGACTTATATTTATAATATCTTCATTCTTGTCTTTTCCAGTGATAAGTATGTTCTTTATTTAGACCAGAATTTAAGAATGCTCATATTGTCAGGAACACAAATATCAAAAAATACCTTGATGTCAGTAATGGTAACAACTATTTTCTGATCATTAATAAGATATCTATAGAGACGAAGAATATAATGAGGAATTGAATTGATGTATTCTTTAGCTTTTTCTATATTGGTCAGTATGAATAGAATATCTTGATGGTTCGCTATTTTGTTATTGAGAGTTGAAGTTAACCCTCATCATTTTTAAGAACTAAATCATCATGAGTTCAGATACCTATCAAGTAATTCTCACTAGAATATCTGATCAACTGGCCTATTATTTTATTTTTTTTGACCTCTGGATAAAAAAGAGCAGACGTGTTAAGGAACTCTAAAAGCTCATATTAGGTTATTTTTTCTTAAGCAATTCAAGATAATTTATAGTTATACCAAAATTCAAGGTATATTATTCACAAGAAAAAAGTTTAAAATGAAAATAATTTCCTGATATTATTAATAGATATATATAAATGGGAGGCAGAAAAAAGAGACACAATCCCAGAAGAATCAATCCTGAAATTTTTATTATTATCCATATATTCTTAGGATTAGAGAAATATGCAATTGAAAATGCTATAATCCAAAGAGATGTAAAGTCCATCAGAATTCTAAGCAAGTTTCTTATAAAGAATGCGGTAAGAAAACAAGATCTGGATATGACTATTATGATACACATGCAAAAAAACATAGGTTAAGGAAATATTATTATCAGAAAAAGTAAGTTAAGTTAACTTAATGTAGATACTAGCAGAAAATCTGTCTTAGAAAACTAAGACAAGTTAGGATGGAAATCAAGACAGAAAAATATAGCTAAATGGTGTTTTTAAGCTGAATAAAAGAGAATTTGAATACTTATCCTAGTTGTTCTAGTTGTTCTAAAAAAAATGTGAGATTTTCTACTTTATTATTTTTTTTTATAGGCATATCAGCATATATCATACTTATCTTATACATATATATACCAAAAGTGTATTATAGAAAAAGTTTTGAAAATTTTCCAAGAACTTTACTTTTAACTAGAACAACTAAGACAACTAGGATGAGTATAAAAGAACAAGTTTAAATGAAGAAAGAAGCTTTTTTTCTATACTAAAATCTGTCTTAGTTTCTGTTCTAGTTATTCTAGTAACTTAGACAGAATTTTCTAGTAATCGAATGGGTTAACTATAATATACAAAACTAATGATAACCTGTGATAACAAAAAATCTGCCCTATTTTATTCTAATATGCCTGAAAACGTGCTAGAAATATGAATACACTTTAATATTTTAAACTTTGAGACGTAAAATCAGGTAGACTCTAGAGACATTAGGACAGATTCTCAATAGAATGAAAATGTCTAATGCTATAAGTTAGCCCTAATGACTTATCAATAATTTAGCCTATGAAAAATTTATAGGGATAGCAAAAAAACTTAACAAGAATGCCATTAGTATAGCAAACTGAGGATTTTAGAACTCTAGGAAGGTATTTTTACTACTTATCCCTATGTTTCTATGAGTTCCTATGAATTTTTGAACTTTTTACTTTTTTTATTATTATTTTTTTTGCGGGTTTCAGGAATGTTTTGGGAATGTTTTTGTTACTAGCCTGTAACTATAAAAGGGTGTTCAATATCATAACAGAATTACGTGACTGGCACAATAAGATGCAGTATAAAATTGACAAACACATAAATTTAATCAGATCCTTGAATATAATAACTCAGCATTCAAGCTGGCTTGAAATTGGTAAACTAATAGAAATACTCAGTTTCCTGTTAGTTCTATAATAGCTTCAGGATACTACTAAGTTGCTACCATAGTGTCAGCTTAGATCCTCCAAATCACATACCCTAAAGATTAGCCTGAATTATATCATAGTACTGGTTAAATTTAGACGCAGATTTACATCAAATTATTACGCCACCTGACATGATATTTTTTATTACATTTTAACATTTTAAAAGGTAACCAAATAGACGCAAAGAGTAAACACACCAATATAGAATCCAATATCCAATCAGGTGCAGAAGGTTAGCATCTTGACATTAAATCAGGTATTTAAACAACTACAAAAAATTAACAACTCCAATATAGAATTTAGTATGTAAATGATTCAAAAATAAGAAAAAAAGTATGGTATTTAGATTATATGTATGTGGTAATTAGATTATATTGTGATAATAAAAGGTATATTAATATAAAAATACAAATATTAAGAAAAACTAAAAGATATAGCTAAAACGTAAAAGAGATATAAGAAATAATAAAATATTAGATTATATGTGGTATTTAGACCATATCATTTAAATTATATGTGGTTATTAGATTATATCATTTAGATTATATGTGGTATTCAGATTATATGTGATATTTAGATTATATGTGATACTATAATCTAGGGTAAGTGGGATATCACATGCGATATAATTATATCGCATGTGATATCTTACTATAGCAAATTGGCCAATTAAAACATTCTAAAAATCAATTTGTAATAAATAATTATTTAAAAAATTATTATTTAAATAACTTGTTTAATAGTTAAATTCAAAAGAATCATATACTAACAATAAAAACCTTTATACTTATTTAATTTTATTGATTTATTATATAATAATTTCATTTTATATGTAATCTATATAAATGATATTTTAATATTAATTATTATTAAAAATTTTGAAAATTTAAATTTATATATTTTATAATAGTAATTTATATTAATATAATAATTTAAGTAAGTTATTATTATAAAATAAGTGATTTCATTTGAATTAGAATTTATAAACAATCAAATGCATTATCAATAATTATTTTAGTAATTAGATTTATTATAAATTTATAAACGCGCTTTTTTATAAGTTGACTACTAAAACTATGTGAACTGATATGATGCAATATATAACGAAAAAACATAAGCCATTGCCAAAATGGTAACGAGCAAACAAGCCAAAATGCCAGCATAGTTGATGGTTAAACCAATGAAACTTTTTTCCGCGATAATCTTTTTTTTTTTTTTTTCAACGATTCATCTTTGGTAACCGATTTTTTTAATTCTTTAATTCTGCTATGCGAAATGGCCATATGACATCACAATAACAATTCCAGAAATGATCGTCCAAATAGTGATAGCGATATTTATTTTATTTATTATAAATTAAAAGCTTGCTTTAACGAACGTCAAAATTACGGAGGAGCTTTTATGAAGTGGTCAATATGGAATACCAAAAGATCCGGTTCGGTCACGATTCACGTTCTCATATAAATCAACTTCTTGTACAGAGGGAATTTTACCCAAACCAGAGGCCATATACAAAAGCTATCCATTCAGATCCATATGTTGTTAAGCGTTTTAATAAACCCGAGAGTTTTGTAGGTCATGACGGTTGTGTAAATACCGTTGAATGGAACGAAACAGGCAGTCTTATATTGTCAGGCTCAGGCACGTACGTGAAATGATAAATAATTTATTAGAATTTGATAGACTAATATATTCCTGTTCTACTTATCTAGACGATTGTAATCTTAATATTTGGTCTCCTTTTGCTAAACCTGAAAAACCTCTTCTCCATTCAGTACCATCTGGTCATACTGCAAACATCTTTTCCGCCAAATTTATGCCAAAGACAAATGATCGACATATAGTTTCTTGTTCTGCTGACGGAATCGTCAGGTTCACGGATCTTAACGATTTTATTGCTTATTCTCCTTCAAATAATTGGAACCCTTCACCAGCATTTCAATGTCACACTAATATGACGTAAGTTCCTTGAATTATATTGAGGATTAATTTTTTATCCGAAAAAAAAAAAATAATAAAATTAAGTAACTACAATTATCTTTTAAAAAATTAGGTTTGAAGTTTTACCCGATCCAAATAATCCATACGTGTTTTTCTCTTGTGCAGACGATGGTCGAATAAAAAGATACGATCTCCGCATTAGTAAATCTTGCGATAAAAATTGTAGGCGTCACACATTTTTGGACATGAATCCTACGCGTAAACCAAAGAAGAGGGATTTGCAAAACAGAGACAAACCTAATGATAAAAGTGATGATGCTCGTTCACAAAGCGAATCCGAATCAGAACAACAATCAGAGCGTAGTAGGATAAATTTTCTTCCATTTCGACATAGAGATGTGGGCATCACGGCTATGTCAATCAGACCAGATAATCCTATTTATTTGGCTGCTGCATGTGGAGATGATACTGTACGCATATATGACCGGCGTTTTATTAAAGTACCATCATCAGGTTCAAATATTCCTTATCATCAAGATAGTCAAGTTTATCGATTTCTTCCTAATGCGATGCGGCAGAATCCGGATAAAGAATCGTCGAATCATCATCGAATGACTAGTTTGAAATATGATCCAAATGGTGGTGGTGATTTATGTGTTAGTTACAGTAGTGATAAAGTTTATTTGATTAGGCCAGGAGCTGGTCTAATTGATAAGCCAAGAAAGACAAGAAAAGGAGCAGTCAGGATATCGAGAAAGAAAGAACGTGACGAATCAGAGCCTGAAAATAAGCCGTCAGACGATAACGTGGAAGGAGAGTCCCCTATTAAAAATATAGTTGGTAAAGGGAAAGCAAAAGAAGAAAATTCATGTGAAGAGAGAGACACCATTCCTACATCATATTTGTTTGAAAGTACTATAAAAAATAAAGAGGTTGATAATTATGATGAGGAGGTTTTGAGTGATCAAGATAACCGGCAGCCTATAACACAAAAAATGAATGATATCAAGGACGAAGACGACGATTATGATGATTACATGTATAGTTCCGATGAGGACGACGAAGAGGATATAGATGAAGTGCACGATGAAGATATAGCCATGTCCTACACCGGTCATTTAAATTCCAGAACAATGGTTCGTTTAGAATTTTTATTTTATTGATTTTGATCATTTTGCTTATTTTGAGTTTAAAATGATAATAGATTAAAAAAGCATATTTCTTTGGAGCAAAATCCGAATATATTATGTCTGGTTCGGATGACGGTCGTGTATTCATATGGGACAAACTGACAGGAAAAGTTATCAATTTATTAAAAGATGGTGATACGGTAAGAAATACTTAATTTATAACTTGCCAAGTTTAGGTCCATCACTAACTAAATGTATTATAATTAATATCAGAAGGTTGTAAATTGCGTTCAACCACATCCGTATTATCCAATTTTATGTACATCTGGAATTGATTATGATGTGAAACTTTGGTATCCTAAAGGAGAAGAAAATGATCTTTCGGATCTTGAAATGATTTTAAAGTATAATGAAGAAGAAGCGCGTCAAGAAAGTGCTATTGGAAGATGGGGAGGCACCGAGAATCAATTTTCGTTATTGTTTGGTAAATATTATTATTATTGATGGCTGTTCCTTTGATAAATTTCTATTAATTCGCTACTTTCATTATTTATATGATATAAGCTTTACTCAGTGAGCTCGGAGCTAATGTGTCTAACATTTTTGAGGAATGATTAATTTTTAAATAATTTTGAGTTGTATGCATACATATTTAAGTGTTTTTTGATCTAAATATTGCAAATTATTAGTAAATTGTAAGATTATTCGTTTGATTTATGCCGTAGTAATATAATGCAAATTTTACGAAACACGTGGAATAACATTCAATACATTTAAAAAGGAAAATAAATTATGTTTGTATCAGGTTGCCAATTTTATAAAGTACGAAAATTCAGAAAAATGCCAGATTTCAAGAATTATGCCGAAAAATGCCGAAAAAAAAAAAATAGTAAAGAAATGCGAAAAAAGAAATGCGAAAAGAAATGCGAAAATAGAATGCGAAATAGAATAAGGAAAAATAAGATGAAATGAAAAATTTTGGTATCTTTTTTTGTTATGTTTTACGAATAATATAAGGAAAAAGAAAAAGATCCTTTTTTTTTTTTTTTTTTTTTTTTTTTTTTTTTGAATAAACCAATTGGACTTAAAAAAAGATCAAAAAAGTCCAAAATATTCAATTTCAAAGAATAATTTGCCCAAAAAAAAAAAAAAGAAAAAAAATTTTTTTTTTCCTCCTAAATCATAATGTTGCGTAAATAAAAATCCTATGATCCTGATGAAATTCGGAAAAAAACTTATTAAATTAAATTGTGGTGTGAACATAAAATTTAGTGAGGTGTGTAAGAATGAAAAAGTGAAACATAATGAGGTTGAGAAGGAGATGGATAAAAGGATTTTTTTTGGTGTTTGGTTTTTTTTTTTTTTTTTGATGAAAAAAGCGAAAAATTATTTACTAATGTTAAAGATTAAAATGTATTAAAAAATTGAATGAAACTATGATAATGTGTTATGAAAAAGAGAAAAATATCTATAAAGTTCCTATATAAAAAAACCGTTGTATATTCTAATAAAGAAATTTCGTGAAATAAACTCGTCTATTATTAATGTGTATATAAAGAAAAGAAAAAAGGTGGGGAAAAATATTATTAATTTTTTCTTTCTTTTTTTGATCTTTCTTTCCCTTTATAACATTACACTCGAAGAGAGACCATTATCTATCACATCTAAATATCTTAACTGCAATCTTGATAAGAAAAAAATAAGATGAAATAAAAAAAAAAAATTTCATTCACGGGAAGTAAGGAATACGAGATATTCTTACGACATTATTATAAGACTTGATTTAAGTAAAATAAAAACAGGAATGTCGATTAATATTTTTCCCGTTAAACTAATTTTTCCCAACACAAATAATAAATAAAAAGGGGAGAAGACGATAATTTCAAAATTAAGAAATTAAATAAAAAGTCCGAAAAAATACGAAAGAATAAAGTTCGATAATCGCGTCAGATTTTTTTCCTTTTTTTTTTTTTTTTTAAAAAAAAAAAAAATACACTAGGTATAAACGCGATTTTAAAGGATTCCCACCATTACAAACTATGTAAAAAAATCCCAACTTTGAATAATTCCAATTGAAAAAAAAAAAAAATTTTTTTTTTACAGGTACTGATTTGGAATTATAAGTTAGGAGGGATCTAATTTTGCCAAACTTATTTTAACAATTTCTCATAATAGGCCCATGATTCAACATTTTAACACCTTCCACTTCGCCATCATATCTAACTTTCTTAACAGGTCTCCCTAATCGATGAACTCTTAAATGTCTACGCATATTACTTTGAACAGAAAATTTTCTACCACATCCGGATTCTGTACATACAAAAGGTTTTTCTCCTGTATGTGAATAAGTGTGAATGCGTAAAGAACTTGGACGAGAAAATCTCTTCGAGCAATAAGGACATTGATATCTATTATTAGTATTTGAAGTGGTTACTCCAGCCACGGGCAAATTTATTTGATGATCATTGATGACCTTTGGTGTGCCCAACCTTCTTGTAATAACATTTTCGTTGTTCAACACTGGAGAAGGGACATCAAGACGAGGAAGAGTCGTAGCTGGTCTTGATTCAAATGGAGAAAATGCGGGTTGAAGAGTTGTTGGGGAGATGTTTGAGGATGGATATGCACGTTGTTGTTCTGTATAAGCATGATCGTAAACCACACGTCCCTGATGATATTCTCCAGCACGATCGTATCTACGATGTTCTGGGCGTGCATAAGATTGAGAATGGTAATGAGGTGTCAACAAAACCACATTTGAAGAATAATGGTACTCGGGATGTTGAGGTGGATTCACCAATCTAGGACGATGTTGTTGTTGTCGACGTTGTTCGTGATTCTGACGAGGTTCATAATCATCAAATGATGGATTATTGACCATGTCTGGAGATTCCGGTGGTGATAATATCAAGGATTGAATACTATTGGGACGAGAATGCTTTTGCACTGATGTAATGTTCCTACTGTTATTATTCAAAGCAGGTTCAATCTGTCCAATTGTAACGGAAATAGAAGGGAGACTTGGTAAATTATTTTGATATTGATTTCCTTTATGATGATATCCGGACATGTTATTATCAACGCTCCTTTCAACTGGAGAAATGAGTTGAACTTTTGGACAAGGGATATTCAAAGACAAAGTTGGAAGCTTGCGTGAAGTATTCATATAAGAATTTGGACATCGGTGTTCCACTGGAATCCTTTGTTGATCTACATTAGTTTTAAGATTAAACAAAAAAGGAAATAAGATTAATTTGGGAAAAATGTATAAAAATCTGGTACTCTGTGAAATTTTTTTTTTTCTCTTTCCAGGCCTATCAAAAAGCTTATCTATTTTATTATCTAAACAAGAGCTTTCACCAAAATGTTATTAATTAACAATAATTTTGTGGATTTGTTTGTTGTATGACTTTTTGAACGCCAAAATGCTTTGCAAATGCATAACAAAACGGGGGAAAGTTCCGTAATTTCCGATTTTACTTCATGTTATTGTTGTTGTTGATGATGATGATGATGATGATGATTTAATGACGAAATGGAACAGATAATTTTAATCTCATTTTAATTATTAGGTGTTCCTTGTAAACATATAAAATTTGTCGTCGGTTTTATTTTTTCCTATTTCTTTTTTCTCTGTGGTGTTTTCCCCACCCCCCTTGATTAAGGAAAATAGGAAGAATCGGAATATGATCGGAGATTCCCGTAGAGAAATTGGAAGATCTAAATTAGTCCCACATATCAAATTGTTTACATTTTTAGTGTGATGAAAGATACTACGATGCCATGCACGCATGAGATGCGCATGACTTGCATTACATGATGGATCGCCGATCCTTCTTTGGTCTCGAGAAAATCACCGCAGTAATATACTGTGTAAAACCTAAATCGAAACCTGATTCCCTGTGCAGATTTTCAAGTTGTCATGTGTATGTTGTTGGGTTTCAAAAATGATTTTCCTAAAGATCATCTTGTAGAGAATCAAAAAAAAAAAAAAATATCCTCTACTTTGTTTGCCTTGCTTGTTACGAATTATCTCGAAAATCCTTTTGTTGATCTTCCTCTTGTGTTTCGGCAGTAGATCTTCAGCCTTGTTTACCAATTTTACCCATCAACAAAAAAACTAATTTAAACCTATTTTGTCGCCCTAATAATAATTATGAAAAACCCCCAAAAATTCCAACTCCTTCTCCAAATCCCATTTATAATCGCAAATCCTTTAAAAAAAAAAAAAAAGAGGAAATAAAAAATAAAAAATTGCTTGCTTACCATTAAACATTTCAACGGGTGAATCCAATAAAAATTTAATGGGAGGAAGGTATGGTTTGATGGAGGTTGAGGCGGTTGAGTTGCTGGTTGGTTGCATTTTAAGTGGTTTAAATTTAAAATCGGAAGGTAAATAAACGATTTGATCCAATGAAGATTTAACAATCGACGAATCGATTAATTTTGATTATAGTTGTCTTATCAAAAGATTGTATCTCTTTAAAAGAAAAAATATATTATATTCGTGAAAAAGTAAAATTACTCTTATGTAACGCAGGTAAAAAAAAAAAAAGGAGAATAACGTAATATAAAAAAATAAACGGATTATTGATTAAATTTAAAGGAAAATCCACGAAGAAAAACGCAAGGGAAATTTTCGTCAAGAAATTTCGTGGAAGGTAAAGTTAATGGCGTAAGTTTTATTTTTTTTATTTTTTTTTCTTTACAAAAAAAAAAAAATAATATAATAAAATAATAATAATAAAACGAATAAAATTTAAAAAAAAACGAAATAATATATATCTATAATAAATCTTTTAACGTACGAAAAAAAAGATGATAAAAAAAAAAATAAAATAAGAATAATAAAAAATACGAGAATAATATATATAGATATTTTTTTTTATAAATTTTTTTTTTTTATATTTAATAAGAAAAACTGAAAAAAAAAAAATGATTTGAAGAGTTGAGTTGAGTGTAAGACACCAACAGTTAAGTGAGAGTTGGCAAAATTACTCTATTTATCTATTTTTTTTTTTTTTTTTTTCTTTGGTTGGATTGGATGTTCATTTTTGACTAACCAAAATCTTATTACACTCCGGTAAAAAACAATACCATCTTTTTCTTTGAAATCTCTGATTATGATGTACAAAATATAAGCAATATATTACCGTTGATCATTAATTATAAAAGTGTATGACAAATTACCTAATTTTCTTTTTTGATAATTTTGTAATAATTTCGTATATTTACCAAGAAAAAAAAAATATTTTACCACCCTTTGCCGAATCAAATACGACTGAGGTAACCAACAAATAATCATTTTATAACGGGAGCCTTCTTGTGAAGAATAGTAACGCGGTGTAACACTTAATTGGGTCGTTATATCAGAAAAATCAAGAAAATAATGATGGTACAAAAATAAATAAAATTTTTGTTATTGGAATCATTACATCAATACCTCCAACCCACCACGATTTTGCAGATCTATATGACTTTCAATCAACTGATAATCCACATGCATAGTAATAGAATTCTTAAGGTCATAGCGCGGGGCAATCGCGAGTTCCCGTGGATCGACGGATCTTCCAATAAAACGTTTCCTTATTCAGATCATACTTTGGACCATATGACAAATTATTTGTTTGTATAAACAGAAAAAAATGAAAAAAAAAATTTTTTTTCCTGATTATGAATAAGTTGATTATCATATTACATATGAAAACATCGTGGGGATCGTCATTGGTCTCAAAAATGAAACTCGACCACCACTAAAAAAATCTTCCCACTCTTTTTTCATTCAACAATTAGGATAAACCTTAATTGTTCTGTTCCCCAAAACAATTGAGTTAACGATTTTGACATCTCACGTGATGCTGTCTGCTCGCCTTTCCATTCTCACATGTTGAACACTTCAATCAAGTTCAACTTTGCCATTTCTTTATCACAATGTCAACTTACTCATGTCAACCTTTTGCTAAAATGCCCCTTTTTGACAAAACTTCTTGTTCATAACCTTAATAAGCAATAAGTAAATGATTTTCGATTGCATGATGTGCAAGCGTATCACAAAAAACAAACTTCAATCTTTAAGTAGGTATCCCTTCTTGTTATGGTTTCTTTCTCTTTTTCGACCTTTCCTTCTTAACCTATTTAATCCATTTCTTTATTTTCGTCATTATTTACTTGATATATTTAGGAATATTACTCATCTCAGACATTCGCGTGAGGTAGGGTTCTTTGCAGAGTATTCCTTTGGTAATCTTGTGTGATGTTTCCCTTCCAATTTTTTGACGTTTAATTTCGTCAATTAACAAAGTGGTATGTAGAACATTACAATTTTGTAATGTATCTTTGAATAAATAAATACAAAATCAACGCGTCCCTAAGGTTCTCTTTGACATTTTAATACACCCTTCATACCTTGTCTTTTTTTTGTTTTTTGTTTTTTTTTTTTTTTTTATTTGTACACTATTTATAATCTTTGGGGTTATTTAATTATTTTTAATAGAAACAATATATTTATGTAAATTAAATATAATAATTCCTTTTTAAAAATTTTTATTTATTATATATTATATAATATTATTTTATTTATTTATTATAATTTAATTTAATTCTGATATATATATAATTTCATTCTTTAATAAGATTTGGCTTTTTTTAGAGTTTGTAAATTTCCGTTGGGTTGGTTTTTTTTTTTTTTTTTTATGCCGCATTGCATATCAAGCAACTGCACTCGTATAAATCATGTGAGATGTACGATAATGCATTTTTGATGAAATAGTGTAACCCTTGAAAAAAAATTTTTTTTTAACCCTCTTATTCGAGATAATTTGAGTATAATGTCTTTAGAACAACAGTGGAATGAAGCAATTTTAAGCTTAAATCAAAATAAAAAAGGTTTAGAAGGTTTAATACAATCGACAAAGGTTTTTCTATTTATCCATATATCCCTTGTTAAAATGTCTTAATAAGATATTAAATTATTTTTTTTATATTCAGGCTTGGTTGGTGGTCACTGGCTGGTTGAACCCTAGCATTTATAACATCGATCAAGAAAGTAATAAAGATTCAATGTTTTAATTGTTATTTTCATTACGAGAATTCGCTCAATTTATTCTTATTGATCATAGTACCTGCTGATGTTAAAGAATATTTACAACAACTTATACAAACTCCATTAGCTAAACGTTTGGTTGAATGGTACCTCGGTAAATTTCGTCAAGTTTTAATTCATATATTCAATTAAAACTTTGCATTAAATTTCCTTTTTTTTTTTAGATGCCATTTGTCAAAATTTTAGAGAATGTTTTGATAAGAAATTTCATCAATGGCGTGAAGCGTGGATAGTATGTACTGAAGGAATTTTACTTGGAAATTTTGTTCAGAGTTATTTTTCAGCTCATTGAAAAATTCGACCATATGATATTTTTTGTGTTAAAAACTATAGCAATTACAAAAAGAGAATATTAATTCTTCCGATAAAGATCAAATATTTGACGATTGGATATGTAAATCTTACACGGATTTTATAAATAGTATTTATTCTCATTTTAACAAATGTCAACATCCATTACTACTTATGGCGGCAAGGTTGGATTAAATATTTTTTTTTTTCTTATAGAGTTTTCACTTTTCTTTTTCCAAGGTTTCTCAACTTATATTCCCTTTTCTTTAGTGATGAATCTATGAAAGAATTTCGAATTCGATATTATACCATATTATATTCATCATTAAATGACAAATCAGAACATAATTCTACCATACCATCCTTATTTAAAGAAATGACCAAAATATTTTATTGTTCCTTTTTTCGTAAATATAATAACTTTATGAAGTATAACCTTCCCAATTCTTCTGGATCATCATCATCATTGCTTCTTAGTATGAATCAACAACAGAGTGATAAGTTTGAAAGCATTCTTTTCGCTTGGAAATCAACAGATGATATCAATGTATTATTTTCAAAACGAGAAAATAATCTTGATAATGAAGATAATTCGTTCTCGGTAATGGAGTTGGATGATGTAGATTTTGATGAACTCGATATCTCGCTACCACTAGAAGATGAGGAAAAATTTTTAGAGGATCTAAATCTTTATCTTGATGGTTTTTCAAATTTATGTAGACAAATGCATTCATTGGATTTAATAAAACGTACAAATGATGTTTTAGAAGAATTATTATGTGAGGAGATTGAATTAAAAATTCAGAATACATGTAAAAGAACTTTTGATAAACCTATGCTTAGACGTTCTACAAAGTGGTTATATTCTACGGTCTATCCTTGGCTACAAATTATATTATCCTGTAACTCTCACCTTTCACATGGATCTGTTGAAGGTAATTTCAAATTGAATTTTTTTTTTTTTTTTTTTGAATTCCGATTTTTAAATTTATTTATAAAATAAACTTTTGCAGATGAATTGGTGACTTGGTCAAAACGATTAAATTATCATTTTTGCATGGTGTTCTGTGACTCAAGGTATAATTCATTATAATTCTCGAATGATTAATTTATTGATGCAATCTCGTTTATCTTTGTCTTGCTCAATTAGGATTTCAGAATTATTCGACGTGATTGTTGATTTCCCGGATTCAAAAATTGCTATTGATGATCTAATTGTATGTGGAATTTTTGGCTTAAATATGCTTTAAAGGTTGTTCCATTAATTTGTAATGAAGATCCTATGATAATTTACTTTTTTTATTTTTTTTTTTACATAGATGTGTATGAAGAGATTAGACAAAGATTATAGACTTCGACTTGTTGAATCACTCCATATAGCGTATGTTTATAAATTAACGTATTCTCATTTCTTCTCGGTTTTGCAAACTAATTCATTTCATTTGTAGGTTTCGTAAAAGATTGTTAATCCCAGGAGCTGGTACAATGGACATAATTAATACATATATTTCTACTATAAAGTGCTTGAGATTATTAGATCCATCTGGTGTGCTTTTGGAAAAAATCACGGGACCATTTAGAAGTTATCTAAGGTACCGTTTATACGATCTTTTATTATGATAGCTGGAATAGGTCGTTTGAATTTTCTTCACTTTAAGTAGAACACGGGAAGATTCTGCTAGATATTTAGTAAGCAATTGGATGGATGATAAAAATGGAAATAATGAATTGATTGAAGAGTTGGGCCGTACCGAAGAACCTATGGATAATCAACAGAATGTTCGGTTCAATGATGATAATTGGTTACCGGATCCAATGGATGCTGGCCCAGGTTAGTTGGCACTTTTGATTGTTATTTTAGTGATAGATTGTCTCGTGTTAACGTTTAATGTGATTTATTTATAGGTTATAAATCATCAATGTATCGATCTGCCGATATAACAAATTTACTTGTTAGTTTATTTGATTCTACAGAATTAATTACAAAAGAAATTCAAAATCAAATGGCATCTTATTTATTAACTAAAACTGACTATGACACAGAGAAGGAGGTAATATGGATTACATGATTTCTTTAAAAAAGAGATGTCCATAAACCAATTAATGCTAAATTAACGTTTGGTTTCTAGCTTATTAAACTAGAATTATTTAAACTTCGATTTGGGGAAGCAAAAATGTCTGCAACCGAGGTTATGATTAAAGACATTGCCGATTCAAAAAGGATTGATTCATTTATTCGTAGTAATGATAATCCAGTTAGAAGAAATGATCCCGAAGAGGTAAATATTTTTACTTGATTAAATGCTATATGAATTACAAAAAAAAAAAATTTTAATATACCACACAAATCAAAAGATGATATTGCACGGTATCGTAATATCCAGGTTATTCTGGCCTACTCTCAAGGATGATGATTTTGGTGTACCAAAAATAATTGCCGAGTACGTATTTTACCAATCAATTTTATCTATATAGATATTTGTATTTTTGGAACATTTATATATATATATATATTTTTATATAATTATATTTAGTGAAATGGTTAAATATAATGAAGGATTTCAAGTATTTAAGCCAAGAAGAAAGTTACAATGGTTAAAATCACTAGGAAAGGTTCAAATAGAATTAGAGTTACAAGATCGTACATTGGAATTTGAAGTCTCGCCTATTTATGCTACAATTATTCAGTATTTTCAACAACAAGGTAATTTACGAATATTTATTATTATTCTGTGAAGTGATTTTGAATTTAAATTTTTATTAAAAATACCTATGTTTATTTATTTATTAATAGATAAATGGAATTTAAATGACTTGGCAGAAAAAATCAAAATCGAACCTTCAATGTTGAAAAGCAAGATGAGTTTCTGGAGTGATCGTGGTATTTTGAAGGAATCATCGAATGATGAATGGATGTTATTAGAAACTGCCGAAGATAATTCTAATAAAGGTAATTAATCAATGGTTGATATACAAGCTATTATTTTCTCTTTCTCTCTCTCCCCATTTATAATTAAAAATTATCCGATAATTCACTTGTTTAGGGTTCGTATCAAATGAAGAAAGTGGTAATAATATTGTACAATCGTTAGCAGAGCAAAAAGCCGAAGAATTTAAAATGTATTGGGTTTATATAGAAAACATGTTAAAAAATCTTGGTGGCATGACTTTAGAGAAAATTTATGGTGTCTTATGTTCTGTGGCCGAACCGTCATCTTCATCAAATGGTATTGATAATAGTTTAGAGGATTTAAAAATGTTTTTAAATCAAATGGTTGAAGAAGATAAGTTAGAATTTCAAGGTGGAATTTATAAGTTAAAATAATCGGTTAGGTTGTTAGAAGGTATACAAAGTGGATTAAAAAAATTGATCAAAGGATTATCTGCTATAATTAAAGATGGTAAGGAATCCTTTTTTTTTATTTGGATCATATTTAGCATTTAAATATAAGAAAATACATTTTAATTTGATACAATTTGTTAACGATTATATTGTAGATATCTGTCACCGCGTGTTGAACAAAGTAAGAATGATGGAATTTTGAATGATATATGAAAACATGAAAACATGAAAATAATCGAGGTTTATTTTATAATTTCTTTACAAGTGTCTAATAAAATTAATAAAATTTCAAATCACACAATAATACTTTACCAAATGACATTTAATCTACTTTGGGTAATTTTATTTTTCAAAATTGGTGTAATCAAATATTGCGATCAAAAATGCGAGGATTTATTAAATCATCGTGATATATGATATATGATAATGAATTCCAGAACACAAGGATATTTCTCGCAGACGTTTAGTCGCATTTTATAGTAAGGATTTATTACTAGGAAATGCAAAAGGTTAATTATCACGTGATCGGACAGAGAAACGCACGTGACCGAAAAATTTCACTTCGCTCAGGACAAAAAAAATGGAAATCTCTCAAGTTAGAATTGGTGCAGGCAAATATAGATTAAGCAGAAAGATACTGACTTAGAACTAATCAAAGATGATTTAAACGAGAAAGAAAATGATGACTGATCTAGCCTCAGCGCAAAAAGAAAAGTTCCCTTCTCCAAGAGAGGTAACATACGCGTAAGAGGTTATGATGCATTTAATTATTGTGTTGGCAAAAGAGACGGTTTGACTGTTTTCTTTAATGTGATTGAATTATTTATTTATGATTCAAATTTGGTGTTGCCGAAAACGAGGAATGTGGAAAATTTCAGAAAGATACTTATAACCATAAATATTACGTTATGAAGTTCTCGTTTCTACAATTGTTCGGGTTTAATGATATTCTGTTCCCCACTCCCAGCCACGCTCTCTCGATGCACGTCTCTTGATAAAGGTTTCCTCATATCTATTAACAGTGAAAAAACATATATATATTTTAAATTTTATCGAAAATATTATAATCGTAATCAAGGAACAATTAACGTACCGAATGCATCTTCCTCATGATTGTCTCCTGAAGAATAATATCCAGTAACACATCTATAAACACAATATCCAAACTTCTTGTACATTCCAATCGCAACAGAATTTGACTTGCGAACGAATAAATCGACAAAGTATCCATTATAACTATATTAAAATACTCGTCAAATGAATTGTTCAGACGCGAAACATTGATAAAAAAAAAAGAATCATACGGACATCTTTTCTGACACTTCTTCTAACAATTTCATCATTCCGTCCGCTAACCCTAAACGTCGATATTCTGGAGAAACAGTGATTGCTGTAACGTGCCCATGCCAGTCTTTACCACGTCCCTCGGCCTTTCCCATTACTACAATAACGTGGTGATAAGCAAAGGGGCATAAGCGAAACAAGGAGGTATATTTAATGACTGAAAGGTCAGCTTAACTGTAACCCATCATGGCACCACTAGGAGATTCTTGTACACAAAATAGGTCTGGCCAACGCGCCATATAAGTAAGATAGAATTGAATATTATACTGTCACGATTGAGGAATCAAAGTTTATGCGATACGCCAGTATGAGAAAATAAATTAAATTAATAAGCAATAAAAAAAATTTTACCGTCTCTGTCAAAACATCGAGATTTCTTTAATTACAGGAAAATTAAAAAGGTCTCAGTTTATAGGTTCATAAAAATAAAAAGTGTGCCATTCTAAAAAAATTTTACCTACACGTTATTGAAGCGAAATAAATCAGTGGCTTTGAAACGTCTTAAAATACTCATTATTACTACGAAAAAAAAAAGTTTTTCGAAAACCCCCATTTTTGGGAACAATGCTGGTTCAAATTATAGTTACACCAAAAAAAATAGATCTCTTGATCGCCGTTAAATATATGATTTACTCCGCATTGAGCGTAAGCGAAGGATTACCGTAAACAGCTGAATAAAATAACCGGGTACAATACAAATTTCATAAAATTTGCAAAATATTATTTTAAAAAAAAATCCCTTAAAATTATACAAATAATATGGTGATATTCAGAACTTATTATTTGCATGATTTTCTCAAAATTCTATAGATTACTTTTTTTTTGCCTTGTATAGTACCCGGTATGTACTTTAGTCAGCTGTTTACAGTATATATGTCTTGTGCCCGGTGTCCCGCTCAAATTTGAGTCGATACGTGAGTTGGTCCCTTTCGTTACACTTGTGCTCCGGACTTAACAACGGTTTCCGAAACCGTTCCCTAGTATAAAACTTTGTACAGTATCATGAAGAAACTTCCAATATACTTTGAGAATCACTATAAGATAAAACGTTTATCTCCTTGATAATATTATCAACGTCATCTTCTGTATCCAGGTTTAGCACACTTTAATAGCTACAACTTTAATCATTCATTATTTATCCTATTTTAAAAGATACCCTTTATAAACAGCATCACAAGCACTCTACTTGACAAGCTATTATCTCAAATAAAATTTCTAAATCTTTTCTTTAGTATATAATATTTGTTCACTAGCATTCATTATAAAGAAAATAAATATAAAACAAAAAAAAAAAATTCAGCATGTGAAACCACCTTTACAACCTTTTGTGAACAAACTTCAAGTCAATACCCTTCAATTTTAAACCCTAGTTAGCAAGATCATTATCTACTTATGTTTACAAGTCTAGATCTTTCGATCAACAATTAACATTATCGTTTTCACAACCATTGAATTACCCTTCCATCATATATGAAAGTCAAATGTTTACATCAGACAGTTTACTTCTAATTCTTATTCAATAATATAACCATCACTACTACTACCACTTCTTTCACTTCTTCTTCTTCCTCTACCTTCTTTATCATGCAAAAAAGTTATAAAGTTTCAAGTATAAAAAAGAAAGAAAAACTTAAAAGGCAATAATAGTATCTTCAATATAAACTCATTAGAAATAATATCAACTTCAAGAGATCTGGCTTATAAACTATATTAGAATAAATAAGTTGTAAAATTATCACTCTTCTATAGGAATTGACTATATTGATTCACATATGATATCAAATAATTTCTTAAAATCAATGATGCAAAATTCTTGATTTTCTTACAAGATAATTCCTTTAAATACAAAATCAAACTTTGTTAAGATATTCTTATCATCCAAAGAAAATGATCAGCAAAATTTGTTTAGAATTTATTTATTTATCCTTTATAGTATTTCTAATGAATTGAGTTAAGTTGAGTTTTGAGTCAAAATTATCCTATATACCTTTAATTTAAAGTATTTATTTATTATGTGTAATTAAAATTTACAATTATGTATAATCATGCAAGTCAAATATGCAAATTTATGCGAGTCATTTTTAGAACTCTAATTCTTTATTTATTCAATAATATTAGTTAACTAATATATTATGTAGATATTGACAAGAATGAAAATAATAGTAACAGAAATACAAAAAGCTATTAAAATCAACTTACCATTCAAAACATCAAAAAAAGGCTGATTTAACTTGATCTCTAAAGGTTAGAGTGTATTTAAATTTCTCACAAAAAACTTTGTTAAAATAATGGATGGGTTGTGTAAAGTATTTTGTCTTCATTATTGTTTCTTTTAAAAGTTTGTAATTTTTAACTTTATATATTATATATAGGTTTATTTATAATATAATAATTGTAAATTTCAACTATAATCATTTATCAACTTGTCAATTTTGGTTTTAATCTTTTCTTAAACTTAAAATTTTACATACTCTTAAATGGAGTTTCATAAAAAAACTATCTATATGAGATGCTTGACCATGCTATTACACATATAATTCAAGTTATTGTCAAAATAATAAAATTAAATATAAAAAATATTGTCTTTATTTTCAAAGAAAAAAGTATGTATATAAAAATATTTAATAGTTATATTAATATATTACAATATAATGCATTGTTATTAATACTAATTTTTTATTATTTTTTATTAAAATAGGATAATCAGCAAATAATTGCTATTCATTTTTAATATTATCATAAATTACTTAAATTCTATATTCATTTTTTATATCATAAAAAATTATTAAATCAATAAATTATTATAAAGATAAAAATTCTCTTCTTTTTTTATTACATTATAAACATCATTGATAAATAGCTAAACTTGAAAGAAAAGTTTTAATGGATTCAAAATTACTATTTAATAAAAAATTAAATTATTGAATATTTATTTAGATATATGATATGTTTAGCTTTCTTCTATAGGTTTTTAAATATAAATATTATTAATTTATTTTTTATATAATAATAGATAAAAATATTAAAAATTGTAATGATATTTAAATTACTAAAAATCTTAATGTTATTATTATTGATCCTAGTATTTATACTGGTTGATCTTGATATTCTCTATTCAAAGAATATAGTTAGTTTAGTAACTTAGATATTAATCATATAATTCATTTGTCTTTATTTTTGAATGATCTTATTTCTCAGTATATTATTTTTTTATAATATATTTTTATTTTTTATAAAATTCTTAATTATTATTTATATTTGTAAAACTACTTATACTTCTTTTAAAAAGAGTAATTTAATAAAAAAAGCTCAGGTCTATTTACAACTTCATATCCAAAACCTTATTAATAAATATTATAAAAAGTTGTCTTATTTTTTTTTAAATGTTGATATCATTATTATATCTTTTTTAATGAATCTGTTATATCTCATTATTTTAATAAAAAATTAATTAAAAATAGTTTACAAAAATACTTACTTGAGCTTACAGTCAATTTTGTAATTATCTTATTTTTAAAGCTAAAGAATTAGATAAAGATTATTATTCAAAATAAAGCATATACAAGTAAAATTTATAGGTTGTTTATTTTCTTTTTCACATTTATTTTCATTTTTTTATCATTTTTAATATTTATTTA